TTATTAAGCATGCGTCTGCTAGCAATAGTCTGAATTATGTAGACGCTCATTAAAAGCGCTGTGATATCTATATTTAGCTCAAAAGGATTTCATATTGGCGGCACCCAGTTAACTAAGGATTTTTTCACAGCTCATTAGGTATAGGATAGATCTATATATTTTTTTGAAATTTTCATTTACTTTTAATTTGATTTTTTATTTCAATTGATACATGTCATACATGTTATCTAAGAGCGCTACAGCCCTCACGGGGCCTTTGGCCCCGCTCGGACTTTCCGCATATTATTTTAAACCCCAACATCTGATGAGACTATCACCTTATTGAAGCAAATTAACCCTCTTTCTGCATTGTTATGCCCCCACAATGTGGGAGCATATAGCGTCCGTCCATCCCGAAATCTTGTGAACGCATGCTCTCAATAAGTTACAGGGCTGCTAAGGACTGCCGATAGGCACAACTGACTGCTAAGTAGGAACAAAGGACCTTAAAATACCATACCCTCCCGTTCTAGCCAAATCTGAGTCATATGTTGGTCTAGCCTATAGATACCCACTGTTAAGGCTAGCTAACCCTGCGGCATTTTTTTATTCAATAATGAATATATTGGGTAGATCTTCCAGAAATAAATTTACTTTAAAATACGGTATTTAAGAGTTTTCCTGAGCCATTGGAAATTATGTAAGTGTTTTTGACATGATATTATCAAACACTAAAAATTAATATACAGGGTTTCTGTTAGGAATTTTTATTTAAGAGTCCCAAGAACTCGTGCTCCTTAAATATGAGGGTCCCAGATAAAATTTTGAGGGCCCTTATCATTTCTTTCTTTAAAATTAGGCATTAAGTTATAGATACTGTCTATGTTTACATTTATATAAAGTGTACATCGCTGCTCCATTGCAACCTGCCCACAAACCTAAGTAAAACACTCATGGATAGACCTTGGCTCCCCCTCCCCCCCCACCCTGTGAAAAAAATCTTACTTTTTTTTGCCAATTATATTTTTCACATAGATTTAAAATGAACCATATCCTCTATAAAATTTAATCTATGTAACAGTCAAGTATAATTAACAATCATAATAAAGGCACTTTACATGAGTGAGGCAGATGTGAAATGCATGCACAGGTTATCATTAATCTGCTCTTTTGTTGTTTTACCTGTCGGAAAGATCGATTGCTAAATTTAGTTAAACACATATGCACAACATTAATTTAAAAAGCCTGCATTTTTTATCCAATGACAAAAAAAGTTTCAGACAGGATATAAAGGGCGTTTGAGTAACTAAGGGACACAACTAAAGCTGGAATGTAATATAAATCTGTGTTGGTATATAAGAAAAACATCATACCCCTTTGAAGTTTCACTTTGAAAATGATATGAAATTTTAAGTTTCCATTCATTAACTCCCCGACAGTATTACAAATTCAACTTAAATTTGGCATATGGGATATGTCAAAGGAATGTGCAGATCAAGTTCAAATTTGGTCATTGTTTGATAATTTTTGCAGAGTTATGGCCCTTTCACTTTGAAAATAGTATGAAATTTTCAGTTTCTGTTCATTATCTCCCACAGTTACAGTACATATTCAACTCAAATTTAAGATATGGATATTTCAAAGAAATGCGCAGGTCAAGTGCAAATTTGGTCATGGTTCAATGACTTTTGGCAGAGTTGTGCCCCTTTCATTTGGAAAATAATATGAAATTTTCAGTTTCCGTTTATTATCTCCCCAACAGTTGTACATATTCAAATCAAGTTTATTATATAGATATGTGCAAAGGAATGTGCAGGTCAAGTGTGAATTCAGTCATTGTTCAATGATTTTGGCAGAGTTATGCCCCTTTCACTTTGAAAATGATATGAAATTTTCAGTTTCTGTTCATTTTCTCCCTACTGTATTACTCATTAAACACAAATTTAACACATGGATACCTCAATGTTATGCACAGGTCAAGGTCGAATTTAGTAATGGTTTGATGATTTTTGGCAGAGTAATACCCCTTTTACTTTGAAAAAAAAAGGAAATTTTCAGTTTCCGTTCATTATCTCCCCAACAGTTGTACATATTCACGTCGAATTTAGTATATGGATATGCCATAAAAATACACTGGTCAAGTTCGAATTTGGTCATGGTTTGATGATAGCTTAATAATAATTCCAGTAAATGTCTAAATTACAGGATTTATAAACAGGATTTTTGTTTTGAGCCATACCTCAGCAAGTTACCTATGAATTTAGCTTTAATTCTCTTTAAATTTAGAAGTATGAATCACAAACTTCCTATTGAAAAAGGAAGGTTTGATGATATTCCAAGAGAACTTAGAACTTGTAACCTATGTACCAGTAACTCTTTAGGCGACGAATTCCATTATCTTTTCGAATGTTCACATTTAGTCAATACAAGAAAGCTGTATCTTGATAAATATTTCTATGAACGTCCAAGTGCTTTAAAATTTGAAAAATTAATGAACCATAGTAATAAAGATATCCTTTTGAAACTTGCCATATTTTGCAAAAATATTATGTTATTATTTAAATAATGTTAGCTTATTAGATTATGTATTTTCTCTTTGTTTTTTTCTCGCAATGATTTTTGATTTTTCTCTCTCATCCTCCATTATCAGTCAATTATTACAGTAATTTTATTACATCATGGAGTTGTATGACCATTTATAATTTGCCATTTTGTAGTATTTTGTTTTTACATATTATTTGCCATTTTGTATTATTTTGTATGTATGTACTGTTTTATGTTGTCACATGCCCATATGGGCCCTGACGTATTCAAATAAACCTTGAAACCTTACAGAGTTATCCCTCTTGAACTTAAATCAGGGTTCTCGGGGACGCTCATTTCGGCGTCCCGGTACGCATGTTTATTACAGCTGGACACAAATATTTCAGAGCAAGGATTCCACGTACGCTTAATTTTGCCTTGGCACGCATAAACATAACCGATTGTTTACAACCACAAATACACAAATGCGTCAGCGCGTGTCAGTCTATAGGTAGGCGGTCCTATGCACATCGACCCGTGAAGCGATTAGCCAATCAGCGATAACGCTTACGATCATTATCACGCAATAGTGATCAGACTAATGTATACACGCGCTGTTCAGTGCATGTTATTACCAGATATAACACGAGGTGATAATTTTATATCTTTGATCAACAGTTGATTGGAAATTAGCAAATTTTACCGACAAAAGGATAAAATTATCGACTATTTACGCCGCAAGTTTAAAGACTGTTTTCTCAAATTACAAATGAGTGTAATTTTGAATGATTGTCGAATATTTTCGGCATTTTCTAGGCACAATTTTGCTTTAGTTTCATTCTTGCAAAAACTTTCGATAAGACTATTAAGAATTTAAGATATTGTGCCGAAATGCCAGGACAACAAACCAAAATACACATACGCTTTTCTTTGATATTTAGATTCTATCCGAAAATTGATCCCGAACCAGGGCCAAAAAACCCTTCTTTGTAGAGGCCTAATATAGGCTACTTCCCCAACCAAACTAGCCTCTATTTTTCCCCAGTTTGGTCATCAAAATTCCCCAGTCTTTTGACATTTCCCATAGAATTTAGAATAAAGTTAAATAATGGTGTTGAATTAAGGTCTTTTACTGCCTTATTTGTATTTCCCAGTGTTTTTTTGCTTTTCTATTTTGAAGGCTTGTTAAAAGTTTGTGTTAAATTTGAGACCCCTTTTCCCAAAGTATGCCAAAATCATGCATATTTTCCCCAAGAAAAAGGCTGAGGCCCCTTCCCCAAAAATGGTGTTTTGGCCCTGCGAACATCGGCGATTTCACGTTCGCCAGAAACCCTAAAATTTCGCAAAAATTCTCGGGTTCCAAGCCAAACTTGCGAATGAATTGTTTCCTTATTATTTAATCAACATTAAATCTTTAAATATCGATCTTCAATTTGCCCCCTTTTGAAGATATTTGCTAAAATAATTGTCGATCGGATGAATCTCTTACACACTGTTTGAAGCTGTACACGGTTTTCCTATTCATTCCGCTAAACGCTGCCTATATACAAATCTACGTTTTTTTTTTTACAAATATAACCTTTTTGTCTTTAGAGTGGACTTATTTAACCAGAATAAAATTTGATTTGGTATAAAAGTGAAAAAAATGTGTTTTCACGTGTTTCCATGTGTTGATGCATTATAATGAAATAATTTCATAATAAATATCAACAACAAAACAATAATTATGCTATGTAGTTCAGAGTTTCTTTTGAATAACTATGACTTTGAAAAAATCAGATATCTTTAGTTTCTGTTCTTTATCTCCCAAATGCTTGTACACATTTTACTCAAATTTGTCATATAGATACATCTTAGGAGTAAGTAGTTCAAGTTTGAATTTGGTCATGGTTCAATGATTTTGGACAAAGTTTTCTCTCTTGAATGTTGGAAAAAAATTGAATTTTCAGTTTCAGCACTTATACTTTTGTGGAAGTGACTATATGATGTCATTTTTTTGGCTACAAATATGCAATTTACAAAAGGTTAACACTGAATAGTTGCAGTGCCTAGAACTTTGTACAAAAATGGTTTGTTTTAACATGGAATAGTTTTAAGGGCTTTAAGCTTCAAATGAAAAAAAAATGTTTGTGCAAACAAATTTGGATCTGAATATTATAACATCTGAAATTTTGGCTGCATGCGGGGACATCCGTGGCATGACAACACATTTCTAGTTTTAGTCATTTTCAATATTAAAATTATCAAACAGGATGTGAAATTTTGCATGCAAGTTATTGGTTCTGACCTAGTAACATCATAGTGTACATGAATCTCAAAACAAAATTGCAGGACTCAAAGTAAAGCAAATTCATGTAAATACAATATGATATTTACAATGGACATTTTTGGCATTTTCTATTGAAGCCCATATATAAAAGATGGAATAGTTATACATTGCAGAATTTTTAGTGAATTGTCAGTTAACAAGAGTGGTGTTATTTTCTTTTCACTTTTAGAGAAAGCCAAGTTGAACTACGCCAGCAAATTGACAGCTTAGCTGGAGGTAATAGTAATAATGTTTGAGTCTAAGTTTTCATTTCTTAAATATTTTATATATAAACATTCTCAGTAAACATGAAAGCTGTCATAGCTTTTGTAAAGCAGATAAAATGCTATCTAACTGACTAGTCTTACTGTTAAGAAAAATGTTTGATATACATGTGATTCAAAATATACAGTAAATTTCTTGAACTGTATAAACCTATATCTGATGAAAAATTATAAAGAAGTTTAAAAACAATGAAATTACCGTTAAATTCTTAAAAAATACCCCATCCTGTAATACAGGCTATACCCCCAACCCCAGGTTTTTTTTTATATGGACAAAAATCTACTCATCAGTGCTGAAATCCCGATTAAATCCATATCTTTTATTCAAATCACTCGGAATCTATTTTATTTTATAGTAAACACAACAAGAGCACCGCTAGGCGGAGCATTATATGCCCGAAAGTGATTTTTTTACTAAATATGAAGCATTTGTAAGACATGGGAATTAACTTATAAAGACTATTACCTCCTTCACAAAACAATCCTCCTTTGAAGTTTCAATATTGTGGTCCAAATGGAACTTAAGTTATGCCCAAGAAACTGTTTTCAGTTCCAAGGTTATAGTGACCTTGACCTTTGACCTTGTGACCCCAAAATCAATGGGGGTCTTCTACCCAATATGGACAATCATACTATGAAGTTTAAATACAGTGGGCCAAATGAAACTTAAGTTATGTTCCGACAACTGTTTTCAGTTTTAAGGTCATAGTGACCTTGACCTTTGACCTTGTGACCCCAAAATCAATAGGAGTCTTATACTTAATATGGACAATCATCATATGAAGTTTGAATATTGTGGGCCAAATTGAACTTAAGTTATGCTAAAGAAACTGTTTTCAATTTCTAAGTAATAGTGACCTTGAACTTTGACCTTGTGACCCCAAAATCAATAGGGGTCTTCAACCCAATATGGACAATCATCCTATGAAGTTTGAACACTGTGGGCCAAATGGAACTTAAGTTATGCTCCGGAAACTGTTTTCAGTTTTCAGGTAAAAGTGACCTTGACCTTTGAACTTGTGACCCCAAAATCAATAGGATTCTTTTACCCAATATGGACAATCACCCTATGAAGTTTGAACACTGTGGGCCAAATGGAACTTAAGTTTTGCTAAAGAAACTGTTTTCAGTTTTAAGGTCATAGTGACCTTGACCTTTGACCCAAAAATAAATAGGGGTCTTCTACCCAATATGGACACTTGTCCTATGAAGTTTGAACACTGTGGGCCAAATGGAACTTAAGTTATGCTCCGGAAACTGTTTTCAGTTTTAAGGTCATAGTGACCTTGACCTTTGACCGTGTGACCCAAAAATCAATAGGGGTCTTCTACCCAATATGGACAATCATCCTATGAAGTTCGAATACTGTGGGCCAAATGGAACTTAAGTTATGCTCCGGAAACCAAATTGCTAACAGACGGACAGACAGACAGACGGACGGACGCCAGTGGGTATAACATAATATATCCGAAGTTCTTTCGGGCATATAAAAATGAATGATATTATAAACTTTAAAACCTTGACACTTTTTAATGTTATTACCAACACTTCCTAACACTAAATGCTTTTACAATGACTTTTGGATTTAGGAAAATTGTTGTAATTTAAGTCCCTCTTTTGGAAATTGTTTAGTCCCTGGGGGCTTTTAATGGGAATATTATGGTATGTTGTTTTCATAACCATGGTTAAGGGTGGCTTCTTGAAAAAGTGTATGTCTTCACAATTTAATATACAATGTCATAATTTATTAATCATGAACATTTGCATACATGTACATGTAAACAGAAAAAAAATATCCTGAACAAAATTTTTGCGCTAATTTTGAGTAAGGTTTGAAGATGATTTAAAACATCCCCTTGGCACTTTAAATTAAATAATCTGACAAAACTTTTACATTCTAGGTATTCTGTAATCGCTTTGATCAAAATATAAACCAGCATTTTACAATCATGAGACAACAAATATAATTATAACTGTATACACTTTAATAAAGAGGGGTTTTACCCTTTGGAAACGTCAGAGAGTTTTAAACTTTGTGCAGTTACAGTTAGAATACTGATTTTATTTATGATGGTGGAATATTGTCATTATACTGGCACACAACTTGTTTATAAATATAAGTCATTACATAATGTAAGTGACCTACATGATTTTTTAAAAAGAAAATAGAAATAGTGTCTTTGTTTTATGCTACACTGTCACATGGAATAAGAGATACACATTTGTGAAAATATGTAAAAGTTACTCCTACTCCCGCAGTATTTGTGTGAATAATTATAATAATAATATATATGAATAGGAAAATAGTTAACACAGTCAGATCAAAATAAGTAGAGCATTGAAATAATCAAGTGTGCAACTTGTTTTATTTTCAGTAAAACAAAACATTAGACTTAAAGTTGGAATATGTAGACAAAAGCCCCACGCAGTTTCAAGGCCCCCATTAATTATATGGTTTTCAGATTTGCAGGTGTATTAAATAAGCTTCAAAGCAATTGTGACATTAATGAATTATTATATGGTTGCTTTTCAGATTTGCAGGTAATATCCAGTAGCCAGGCTACATCGGTGGACTTGGAATCATATGTAAAAAAGTTGAACAATTCAAGAAGGCGTGTTATGTTAGTCAATAATATTTTACAAAATGTTCAGGTAAGAGTGACTTAAAATCTTCTAGCACATTTTAACTTTTGATACTGCCTAGGTGCTGTCATGCATTTTAGCCTTACTTAATGAAAGATAGTAGTTACTCAACCGGCATGACAAGGAATTTAGCTTTTTGCATATATTTATTTAAAACATAATTATATTAAAGGCCCTTAATGCTTTAAAATTGTTACTTATTTTATTTCCGAAATTTTTCATTTTTTTTCAATTTTTGGTATCTTGTCACAGTTGTAAAATGAATCTTTATTTGCAATAACTATGGACTGTCTTTGCCACTGTAGCTCTGTCTTTGGTATCTTGTCACAGTTGTAAAATTAATCTTTATTTGCCATAAACATGAACTGTCTTTGCCACTGTAGCTCTGTCATTGGTATCTTGTCACAGTTGTAAAATGAATCTTTATTTGCCATTAACATGGACTGTCATTGCCACTGTAGCTCTGTCTTTGGTATCTTGTCACAGTTGTAAAATTAATCTTTATTTGCCATAAACATGGACTGTCTTTGTCACTGTAGCTCTGTCTTTGATATCTTGTCACAGTTGTAAAATGAATCTTTATTTGCCATAAACATGGACTGTCATTGCCATTATAGCTCTGTCTTTGGTATCTTGTCACAGTTGTAAAATTAATCTTTATTTGCCATAAACATGGACTGTCTTTGCCACTATAGTTCTGTTGGCAATCAGTACAATTTTAGTGAATAAGTATTTTATATGGAAATCAAAATACTGCTTTGTTTACATTTCGATACCTCTATAACACATAACTACAAGCTCAGCGCCCACTTTCGTCAATGGTAAAACATCTAGCATGCCTTTAATTCATTATTCAAACACAATGTAACATTATGTTTGACATTTTTCAAGAATTAAAAGAATATTGATTCTCTTGGGTATGTGCCTTAAAGGTAATGCATAAATGTATGAAGAAATAAGTAATGGTTGTATTGCATTGAAACAATCAGCATCATGTGATTAATATTATGCTTTATACATTTGCAACTATATATATATAAAGGAATTTACCAATGATGGAATTTTAATTGGTTCTGAGTGTTAAGAAATTGATTAAAGTTTGCGGCCTTAAGGGTTAGAAAATCATGTCAGCTGAACATAGGCAAGTGCAAAAATGGTTTGCTGCCTGGGTCCAAAAAATCATAATCAGTCTGCTGAACAAGTGCAAAAATAATTAAATGTGACATGTTAGTTGACATCCTCAAAACAGGCTAGCTGGAAAGTAAAAGTGGGCTTTATAGTAAGGATGGCTTGATTTGAGAGATCAAGCACTTGCAAATTGATTCTACTGGAATTCGTACCTATGAAGGGAAGCAACTCTGTCTTATCTTTAGAGGGCTCTAGAGTTTTAACAACAGAAATATCAAAAGTTATTGTAAAATGTATTTCAACTATTATATACATTGATACTCGTTAGAGTTGGGCTGAAAGTGACAATTGGCCCTCAATAAATATTGACCCCCTAGCTGAAGCCCTCATGCCTTTACTTATTTAGCTGCCTGATTTATACATTTCTGCCCTACTCTCTGTATATAAACCTCTTATAAGATAAATCTCATAATTTGATGTCTATCAAAAACATTTTTATCCTTTGTTTTTTGTAGGAGAGATTGACCAAATTATATAACAATGTTTCACGTGAGACTGCTAGACGGAAAGTATTACTAGATCCACCAGGGGCAGGCAGCCCAAAATAAGCCTTTGAACCCATTTTTCCTCTTATAATATTTTGAATTCATTCCATGAAACTTTTATCAAGGGGGAAAATTATTATTCACCGCAAAAGGGCCACCCCTTTTGGGGTTTTAAAACCCTTTTCGGGGAATGATAATTAATAAATCTGAAGTTTAAGATACCCCGATGTGTTTTTTGGGGGATATATGATTGTATGAAATTAAAAGGGGATGATATTGGGAGTGTTGAAAAAAGAATCACAAATAAAATTTTTGGGTTTAAAGGAAAAAAATGTATTAGTGATAAAAAGATGGTATGTTTGGGTTTTTAATTAATTGGTACTTTTGGGGATAAAATTTTATTTTTTGATAAAAGAAATCACAAATTATATTAAGGGGGGGGGGGTTAAGATATTGTTTTAAGGGGTTGTTAAAAATTGTATATTCCAGTTGAAAAATTATGGTATTGTTAAATAATTACAAATCATGATTTTAGAGGATAATGAAAGTGAATGCTCTAGTGATAATAAAATCATGATAAGTGATAATAATATTTTTGTAATTTCAGGCCACAATGAGATGGCATATTTAGATGATAAGATTATTTTTTTTAATTATTACCATATAATAATAATAACATTCAATCATTTTTGGTTATATTTGTAATTGTGGGCTTAGCATCAGTTTTATGACACATATTAAAAAATGATATTTTATAAATAACTTGTGGTGAATCAATGTTATTTTATAAATAATTTGTGGCGAATAAATGTTATTATATAAATGACTTGTGTTAATTCAATGTTATTTTATAAATAACTTGTGGTGAATCATTATATTAATTTCTATAAATAACTTGTGGCGAATCATTATGTTATTCTATAAATATCTTGTGGCGATTCATCATGTTGTTCTATAATTAACTTGTGGCAATTCATCATGTTATTTTGTAAATAAGTTGTGGCGAATCATTATGCTATTCTATAAATAACTTGAGGCGATTCATCATGTTACTCTATAAATAACTTGTGGCGAATCATCATGTTACTCTATAAATAACTTGTGGCGAATCATCATGTTATTCTATAAATAAGTTGTTGCAAATCATCATGTTATTCTATAAATAACTTGTGGCGAATCAGTATGTTATTCTATAAATAACTTGTGGGGGGTCGTTATGTTTTTTGTATAAATAACTTGTGGCGAATCATTATGTTATTCTATAAATATCTTGTGGCGATTCATCATGTTATTCTATAAAAACCTTGTGGCAAATCATTTTTTTATTCTATAAATAACTTGTGGCAAATCATCATGTTAATCTATAAATCAGTCTTTGTGAAATAATGTTATTTTAAAATCATTTGCAGTGAATCAGTGTTGTATTTAAAGGGAAAGACAAGGTTAGAATAAAAACTTGATTTCAGAAAAAGAATACTATAAATAATAAATCTGCAAATTTTCTGCCACCAAATAATAATATTCAACGAATGATAACAAAATTTAAATCGCTAAATCACCGATTTCTTCAAATCAGTAGGTGCGGCCATGTTTGTGTATTGACCGTATAAAAACAGGTGCGCGTGATGTCATTTCCCCACATCTTTAGATTTATGATAAATCTAGTTGAATCGTAGCGAAATAATAATGTAATAAAGTATTGACCAGACAATTTAACTTTCACAGGAGGTTTAGATGAGATTTTTTTATGGTTCAAAATACATAACAATATCAAAAAAAAAATAAAAAAATAAAGAAACAAATAAAAAATCAACGTCTACCGGTCGCACCACTTCAGGCCAGTACGTGATGCCCGTTACTCCAAACAATGCTATGCTCATAAAAGTCTCATCTAAATGTAATTAAACAATATTTCACAGATTTAATAAATACACATGTTATTATTTAACAAATTTCACAATCAAATAATGCAATTAAATAAACAAACGCACCAACGAATAATTGGCTGTTAATTATTGAACGGCGATAATTATCATTTTTATTAAAATCCTACTAAAACGTGTTCTTAATAGTACATGTAATTAAATTTTTGCAGTTTGATTCTGACTTTCAAATTTAAAGGTGTGAACATTTGTTATAATTGATGTACACATTTCAAAAATATAAGCAACTATTTTGAAAAGTAAATTGTTAACATGTCTGTCAACGTATGATGCTGCGTGGTATTTATTTACTTTGTAATCGTAGCCTAATATTAACTGCAGGCAAAACATTTTTATTGGCTGGTCAAAAATCTAATGTGCATAATATATTCACACAATTGCTGGTTCTTACTACTTATGTCTAATACTGTGCATTATCCATTTTAATTGTTCCTAATTTGCACCAAATGTTCCTGTCACACTGTGTACTGACGACTTTTATTGCTCCTTGTATGCCTCTGTGCCGACAGACCTTTTGATCAAGTACAATGTTGCCCTGATTGGTTAATCACCCTTGTCAATAATGACGAAATAGACATCTATTTTTTTACGCTTCATCAGTGAACTGAATGACCTTAGGGGAAATTAAGTTCCGCACCTGTCAAGTTATACTGTAAATTACAGCATTTCATAAAATGGCAACACTTTTTTTTTCAGTTACCAAAAATCATTTTAAATATTAAGTAGAATTATGATTTTTTGTTTTATTGGATTAAATTTACGGTAGTAGAAATGCGTATCTGTGTGGGAAAGGGATTGGGTAAGTAGATAACGTGGAAAAAAGCTAAAGGGAACTGGATAAACCCGAGAATATGCGTAATTACAGGGGAATGGGCAACCTGTTGCAGTTGGTACCAGTTTTGACTGGGTGCCTAAATAACCCTAACAGACAGTTTTGTTTTCATACGATATTAGTCTGGCTGCCGATTTTCCTGCGCCATTCTCATTTTAGCGTCAATGGCGGAAAATCGCGTCCTCAGCAAATCTCTGCATGATATTGGATTTAGTTGATATTTTACGCTGAAAAAAGATACATGACCGGCGATGTACCCTATTCGGACAGCTTGTCTAGCGAAAATTAAGTACAAAATAAAAAGATATATCGTCAATTTGAAGAAGTTTCTCATAGTACCCAAATTATATTGATGGTTTATCTTTGAAAATTAAGCAGTCATTGCTTAAATCATGTGGTGGGATCATCAGTAAGCTTGAAAATCGGACAAATGATTATTAATGTCGCGGCCTCTTCAATTAATTAATTAAAGCAATTCAGTTCCATATGATGTTTTCATAAATAATATATAATGTACGCAATAAAATTAATAAGTTCTTCATCAAGATATATTTCAGTTGTACCAGCGTGTACACCTATACCGGAAGTGGGTGTAACACGTCACAATCTCGGTCTCGTCTGTCTCGCGAGAATGACAGAACGCCAAAATGGCGGCGTCCATGAACTTATTTCTCAAGTAAAAGATAGTGTCTGAAAACACGAATTTCTCACTTATAGGGTTGATGTCAACAGAAAAACTGTCATGATACCTCTTTTTAAATGATGAATATTTATATTAGACAGACATCAATCCATCCATTCCTATTCCTTTAATGAATAATCTTTTTTAAAAATCACTTGTGGTAAATAAAAAATAACCAGTAATTGTGTATACAGATTTTTGTGCAAACAGCCACCGGAAAATCTTTGCACCACCGGGATAGTGGCAAACTTCACTACCATTTATAATTGCCCTAAACACTTAAAAATCATTTCATCTGATAGATTTAATGTTAATTATAAATAATTGACTTCATTTTAATCTATTTTAAATTTTTTTTCTTATCAAAAATTGTATTTTTTAAAAAAAAATTCCGGGCGGAAATTCATGTATTCGCCCGGAATTATGCTGTCCGGCCGGAATTTACTTATATTCCAATTGGAATTTTTTCCAACATTATAATTTATTCAACGGGAATTTCAATTTTTCCAGCAATGCTTAAACTATAAAAATAACCATTCATACATCCTTTAATGACTTTCTGACTAGTTTTGAAGAACTTATTCTCTAAAATAAAAAAATCCCATTTTAAAAGCTGGAAAAAATTCGACTGGATTTTTACAGAAAAATTTAAAAAAGCATAAAAGCGATTAATAATTAAAGGCAATGATAGTTTTTGATAGAAATTAACATAATTATACACCCTGAATTACCAATAAGGTGCTTTGAAAAAAAATGAAAATCCGATTGCGATTTATTTCCAATTATTTTTGTTGGAAAAAATTCCAACTGGATTTTTTTTCCAATAAAAGTTATTGGAAAAAAATCCAACTGGATTTTCATCAAATGATTCATTTTCAAATTATTTTACAGTTATACATTTAAATTTCTTTTAATAAGAGATTACGAATTATTTATAACTATTTATGATACATAATAATAATAGTAATAATTATAATAATTATAAAAATAACAATAATAATAATAATAGATATTAATTAATAAATAATAAAAATAATAATGAAAACAAGGAAGAAGAATTAAATTCCATGATGCAATTATAATTTATATAATCATTACTTTAATTATTATTATAAGGATTATTATCATTATAATTATTATTATTATTATTATTATAGTTACTATTATATTGATTTTTTTTGTTTTTTAGTATTACAATTATTATAATTATGATTATTATGATTGCAATTATTATTATTATTTATTATTATTATTATAATTATTATTATTATTATTATATTATAAATATATATTTTTCTATTATTAACGATTGTTATTATTATTATTATTATTATTAGTAATAATTATTATTGTAATTTTTATTTTTATTAATATGTTTTTATTATTTATTATTGTTTTTAATCATATATCTTAATTTCTATTATTGTTATTATTATTATTATATCTATGTTATGATTCTTATGATTATTATTACATTATAAATTATTATTATTATTATTATTTATTATATTTTATTATTATTATTATTATTATTATTTTTCATCATCATTATTATTGTTATTATTTATTATTATTATTATCATCATATATAATGATAATCATTATTATTA